TTTTTTTTTTTTTGCAGTTTTTGGCCAGGGCTGGTTTTGAACCCACCACCTCCAGCATATGGGAGTGGCGCCCTACTCCTTTGAACCACAGGCACCACCCCCCAAAATCTGTTGTCTTTTTATTTATTTATTTTTCTTTGAGGTAGAGTCTCACTGTGTTTCCCAGGCTAGAGTGCCATGGCTTTAGGTTAGCTCACAGCAATCGCAAGCTCCTGGGTTCAAGTGATCCTCCTGCCTCAGCCTTCTGAGTAGCTGAAACTGTAGGAGCCTGCTGCCATATCTGGCTAATTTTTCTATTTTTAGTAGAGACAGGGTCTCATTCTTGCTCATGTTGGTCTCAAACTCCTGAGCTCAAGTGATCTTCCTGCCTCAGCCTCCCAGAGTACTAGGACTACAGGCGTGAGCCACCACACCTAGACTGTTTTCCTTTTATTAAAAAGAGAAAGTTGAGACAGTGCCCGTAGCTCACTAGGTAGGGCACTAGCCACATACACCAAGGCTGACAGGGTTGAACCCAGCCCAGCCCAGCTAAAGCAACTGACAACTGCAATGAAAAAAATAGCCAGGCTTTATGGTGGGCACCTGTAGTCCTAGCTACTTAGGAGGCTGAGACAAAAGACTCACTTAAGTCCAAGAATTGGAGGTTGCTCTGAGCCGTGATGCCATAGCACTCTACAAAGGGTGACATAGTAAGACTCTGTCTCAAAAAAAAAAAGGAGAAAGTTGAACTTGGCTAATTATAGTGAAAGACAAGTATCACTTTAAGTAACATTTTAGGCTCTAACTGCAACTTAATGTTGAGAGAACCAGAGAAAAGCAACAGGATTTAGTTCTAGTTTAAGTGAGTATAAATGCAGAGGTTCCAAACATAGGATCTATTAAGTTATAAATAGGCAATTCACAAAACAAAAAATATTCAAGAAGGTATTCAGCTTTACTTTAGTGGTCAGAGAATCCTAAATTAAAGCCAGATACCAATACCTATCAGATTGACAAAATTAACAATTAGTATTGTCAAGGACATAGGAAAATGGGAACCTAAATAATGCAGTGATAGAGTATATTGTCACAACCACTTGGGTGAGCAATTTGGCATATGAAACTGTAGTACAAAACTAAAATGCAGAGATTCCATGCCATTCATGCTCAAAGAGATAGGTACAAAGATATTTGCTGCAGTTTTATAATAAAAAATTTTACAACTTTATTGATAATTTCCAGTGGAATAGGCAAATATGTTTTATTCGT